CTCAACCCGACCAGAACCTGCTCAACCCGACCAGAACCTCCTCAACCCGACCAGAACCTCCTGAATCTGACCAGAACCTGCTCAACCCGACCAGAACCTCCTCAACCCGACCAGAACCTCCTGAATCTGACCAGAACCTCCTCCCCGACCAGAACCTCCTCCCCGACCAGAACCTCCTGTTGCAGGATGTCCAGAGAGCCGCTGAGCGTTTCGGACCTGCTGCTCTGTCTGGAGAGCTCGGAGCTGCAGGAGCTGGAGCGGGTCAGAACCACCATCAACCAGCAGCTGAGTACAGGTGAGTCCAGCCGGCCGGTCCCGCAGGTCCTGCTGGCACGTCTGACTATCGTTCTGTTTGCAGACAGAGGGGGCGCTGTGCTGTCCTCCCTGGTGGAGCGTTACCTGGACTCCTCCTCCTCCCAGGTGCTGCTGCTGCTCTCCTCCATCAGGGAGCCTCATCACAAGGTGAGTGGCGCATCCTCACCTTGTGTGGCGTTTTTCAGATGGCTAACGGGTCGGCTCCGCCCCCCAGGTGCTGCTGGAGAAGCTGAACGAGGCGCTGACCCGACCCGGAAACAGAGTGGCGGCCATCACCCTGCTTGGTCACCTGATCAGGAAGCAGCCGCCCTGGGTCCACCACATCAGCCAGGCGCCGGTGCTGCCGACGCTGCTGCGCTGCCTCAAGGTACCGACCCGGAACCACAGCAGAACCAACCGGTCCAAAGGTACCGACCCAAAACCGCCTTAGAACCAACCGGTCCAAAGGTACCGACCCAAAACCGCCTTAGAACCAACCGATCCGTAGGTACCGACCCAAAACCACAGCAGAACCAACCGATCCAAAGGTACCGACCCAAAACTGCCTTAGAACCAACCGGTCCAAAGGTACCGACTCAAAACCGCCTTAGAACCAACCGATCCGTAGGTACCGACCCAAAACCACAGCAGAACCAACCGATCCAAAGGTACCGACCCAAAACCGCCTTAGAACCAACNAGGTACCGTCCCGACTCCCCCTCAGAGCCACCCGGTCCAAAGGTACCGACCCAAAACCGCCTTAGAACCAACAGGTCCAAAGGTACCGACCCGAAACCACAGCAGAACCAACCGGTCCAAAGGTACCGACCCAAAACCGCCTTAGAACCAACCAGTCCAAAGGTACCGACCCAAAACCACAGCAGAACCAACCGATCCAAAGGTACCGACCCAAAACCGCCTTAGAACCAACCGATCCAAAGGTACCGACCCAAAACCGCCTTAGAACCAACCGGTCCAAAGGTACCGACCCGAAACTGAACAATTCCTTATAGACACCAGCTGGTATCGTACTGTCCAGAGCCAGAATCAGCAGGTTTGGCCCGGTTCCCAGAACTTGTGTTTGCGTTGCAGACGGACGGAGACGTGGTCGTCCTGGTCAGCGCGGTTCTGGTCCTCGTCGCGCTGTTACCCATGATCCCTCAGGCTGGGAAGCAGCACATCTACGACTTCTTTGATGTCTTCGGTCGCCTGGCGTCCTGGAGCTACAGGAACCCCGGTAATCCCGGCCGGCGGGGAGGCGGGGCTGTGGGTGGAACGCCGGGTTCTGATTGGCCACCGCTGTCTCCCGCAGGTCAGGTGAGCGCAGCGTACCTGGTCCACCTCCATGCCGGCGTTTACTCGCTGTTCCACCGTCTGTACGGGATGTTCCCCTGCAACTTCGTCTCCTACCTGAGGCTGCACTACGGCATGAAGGAGAACCTGGACACCTTCCAGGAGGTGGTCAAGGTCAGAACCGGGCCAGAACTGGGTCAGAACTGGGTCAGAACCTGGACACCTTCCAGGAGGTGGTCAAGGTCAGAACCGGGCCAGAACTGGGTCAGAACTGGGTCAGAACCTGGACACCTTCCAGGAGGTGGTCAAGGTCAGAACCGGGCCAGAACTGGGTCAGAACTG